TCCAGGTGAGATATTGACTCCAATCGGTGGGATTATTGGAGGTGAGACAGCGGAGGGTGGATTCGAGGTGTTGGTTCATCCTCTCAGTTTGACCATTTGACTGGGGATGATAGCCAGAAGTTAGTGACACTTCACAATTTAGAGCAGAACAGAAAGCCTTCCAAACCTGTGAGACAAATTGGGGACCACGATCTGAGAGGATGTCCTGGGGAATACCATGGAGGCGAAAGACGTGCTTGATCAGCAACTGGGCGGTTTGATAGGCCGTAGGAAGTTTTCTGAGAGGGATCAGATGACAAGATTTGGAGAAACGATCTACGATGGTTAAAATAGTTGACATACCTCAAGACTCTGGGAGACCAGTGAAGAAATCGATGGCAATATGGGACCAAGGACATGAGGGCACAGGGAGCGGTTGCAGCAAGCCGGAGGGTGGCTGATGAGAGGCTTTGTTCCGTGCACAGGTGGAACAGGCTGACACATATTCCTTTACATCTCGATGCAAAGTGGGCCACCAAAACCGTCTTGAGATCAGTGAAACTGTTCGGCTCACTCCCGGATGAGCAGAGAATTTTGCCGAGTGCATCCAATGAATGAGACGAGACCTAACAGACGAGGGAACATAGGTACGGTTAGGTGGTCCATTACCTGGATCAGGTTCTGTGGCCAGGGCAGCGTTGATTAAATCTGTTATCTCCCAAGTGACCATTCCAACGGTACATGAGGCAGGGAGGACAGGTTGGGGTGACTCAGGTTGATCCACAGCGTAGAGACGAGAGAGAGAATCGGGCTTGGTGTTCTTAGATCCAGGTCTGTAGGAGATAATGAGATTAAAACGTGAAAAGAAGAGAGACCACCTTGACTGTCGAGGAGTAGCTTGTTTAGTGGACTGGATGTAGGCGAGATTCTTGTGGTCAGTCCACACCAGGACTGGATGCTCTGCTCCTTCGAGCCAGTGTCTCCACTCTTCCAAAGCCAACTTAATGGCCAAAAGTTCTCGGTCCCCAACGTCGTAGTTGTGTTTTGCGGGAGATAGATTACGGGAAAAGAAGGCAGAGGGATGGATTCGTTGATCAGAGTCGAGTTTCTGAGACAAAACTGCCCCTACACCGGAGTCAGAAGCATCAACCTCTAGGATAAATTGCTTAGAGGGATCAGGTTGGATTAGGACTGGAGCTCTAGAAAACAAGGTTTTGAGTTTGTCAAAAGCTGCTTGTGCCTCGGGGGACCATCGAAAAACTCTCTTGGAAGAAGTTAATGCAGTTAATGGGAGGGCGGTTTGGCTGTAATTTCTGATGAACCTCCGGTAGAAATTAGCGAAGCCCAAAAATCTTTGTAGCTGCTTACGGCTTTCTGGAACGGGCCATTCTAAAACAGCTTTTATCTTCTCTTCAGAAGGCTTAACCTGCCCGCCCTCGAGCTCAAACCCTAAAAAGGTAACTGAAGATTGGTGAAACTCACATTTTTCAGCCTTTACAAAAAGTTTATTCTCTAGAAGTCTCTGAAGAACCAGGCGGACATGGACGAGATCAGAGTCTATTAAATTACGTTCACATCCAGAATCAATGAAGGCTGAAAGAGAGAGACTCTGGTCGAGGAAAAACAACGTGGCAGGAAGCAAAAGACGAGGAGGTTTTTCATTTTCTTCATGGCCCGTCAGACTCCTCAAAACCTCTGACGGGCCCCGGCTTTTGATTTTTCTGGACAGGAAGCAATGAAGTGTCCACTCTCACCACAATAAATGCAAAGTCTGCCCAAAAATCTCCTTTGCCTTTCCTCAGGAGACAACCTTGTGTGTCCAACCTGCATCGGCTCCATTTCAGTTTCTCCAGGATGAGTAGCCTGAACAGGCAAAGGGAGAGGCTGGCTCTTTGGCTTTGGTCTGGATAACTGTTCTGTGGGGACAGAAACAACAGTCACGTTATTAGAGGCGGGGGCAGAGGAAAATAACGCCAAACTCTTATGTTTGCGGCTGTTTCTGGCCCGAATCCGGTTGTCCAGTTTTATAGTTAATTGGATTAGTTCTTCGAGTGTAGCCGGTTCATCGCGGGTAGCCAACTCATCCTTAATATTTTCGTTTAGTGCTTCGAAATAAGCACTCTTTAAAGCACCCTGGTTCCATCCGGAAGCAGCTGCTTTAACCCGGAAATTTATAGAAAATTCGGCCACAGAAGAATTTCCCTGTTTTAAATGAAGCAGAGCTCGAGAATAAAGGGTTTGGTCAGTGTCTTAGTTGAATACCTGGGAAAATTCAGAAACGAAATCTGAATAGTGACAGCTTAAGCTTTCATCTGAGGCAAATCTGGCTTGAGCCCAAGCCAGAGCTCTTCCTGTTAACTGGGAAAGGATAAACGTTATTTTCTTGTGGTCCGTGGGAAAACTGCCAGGAGAGTTCTGGAAAATGAGACGACATTGAAATAAAAATCCCTTGCAATCAGTTACGTTACCAGAAAACTTCTCTGGGAGACTTGGGCGGAACTCGGATGACGTCACAGCCGGTGACCTCGGCGGAGGAACTGGACCTGGAAATGGTTGGGTTGCTGGAGCGGTGTTAGCATTACTCACGTAATTTGCGTAGCTTTGGAGCCTCTGGTTTTGCATCTCAATATGCGTGTTTAGTTCACGGAGAGCCAGAGCGTGTCCATGAATTTTAGCTTCTTGCTCCTCTAAACGACGGAGGAGGTGATCCGCTGGGCCTTGTGTTTGGCCGCAGTGTTCTGTCATGATGGGTATCAGGGAGGCCCAATATGCAGAACACTGACGACACGGATGGAAAGTTTAACAGAGTTTATTGGCAAATTCACACATATAATAAAGACTGATGCAATGGTTCTGGGCTGGGACCGGTTCACTGGCGTCTGTGAGAAAGACAGTTTGGTTAGCGAAGGCTTGGTTGAGACTTGACTGATTGTGTTCAGGTTTGTACCTTGATGAACTTAGAGGAGGCTTTGGGAGCGGAACTGTTGGGTCCGGAGAAAGCTTGGGTTGGCAGAGTCCTTAAGCTGTTTCAGCGTCTTACTTCTAAAGGCTGTTTTGACCTTGGCTTGTGTTTCCAGCTCGGTATCCAGAGCTGCTAGGAAATCCAGAGAGTGAGTCTTCAGGTTTGGCTCGGAGGGATGGCTAGGCAGGTTAAGCTCTTCCAGAGCTTCACAGGAGAAAGAACAGGAAACCTGGAAGCAGAGACAAAAGGGTTAGAATCCAGGTTGGACTCAAAGGAGACTTGGTTCACTAGGGATCTATGGCTTAAGTGCTAACCAACTGATTAAGACACTGCGGCGTCGAGGCAAGGTCTGAAGGCAGCTTAAGTAGTCCAGGTCCTCCAGATGATATCATCAGCTGCAGGTGTGCAGAGCAGCTCAGCAGGGAGGATCCAGGGCGGACTCTGCTGGAGAAAAGGTGTATTTCTCCAGCTCCCAACACTGACACGCAGCAGGCAAGGATTATTAGGGTTTAACAGACCCAAACATAATCAATGATAATGAACAAAAATAAATGAATTCAAATCTTTTCTGTTTTATCACTCTGCTCCCGATCTGTGGCGGGAATGGGATCCTACGCTTTTTCCTGGAGCTAACTTTTTCAGCGTGGGATTTAAACATCAGTAATGTTAACATGGTGATGGCAGAGCAGGCTAATGTTAGCATGGTGATAGACAGACAGACAGATCTATTTTTGTCATTTTGTATACACAAGTGTAAAAAAAAAAAATTTCATTTAGAACAGCTCTCTAGACAAATTCATATCTTAAAGTGCAGCCTTGATCAGGTCAGCATCAGTTGTTGAGCTGCTACTACTGCCTCCAGCTGCTGAAGCACTTGCTTCTCCTGGCTCAGGGGAGGAAGAGGAAGATGATGACGATGCTGTGAGGGTGGTACCCCCCCTGGGTTGAAGAGGCTGAGGTGGTTGAAGCAGCAGTGGTGCCATCGGCAGGTTTAGCAGCGGCAGACGATGCTGGAGAAGGTGTGGAAGCTGCAGGGGGCCAGGAGGAGCCGGCTGGGGATGGTTCAGCATTTGGCAGGGAAGCATCTAGAGTGTTCTCCTCATTTTCACCTGCAGAGGGCAGTGCTTCCCTTCTAGATGCTGAAGATTCCCTGGGAACAGTCTCAGAGGAGCCTCCATTCACGCAGAGCTCTTTGTTCCTATCGGTGTGGTGCAGCCCCTAGAGGCTAATAGCATTGTCCGGTATTACTGGACGCAGCCATGACTCCGTCAGAATAATGGCGCAGCAGCTACATAGCTCCTTTTTGAAGAGAGTTGGAGATTATCTATTTTGTTTTCCAGCGAGCGGAGGTTGGAGAGCAGGATGGAAGCGGAGGTCTGGGGGGATCCCTCTTTAACTTGGCAGTTAGCCCCCTTTTGCAGCCTCACTTTCTCTGTCTCGCGCATTTCTTCGTCCGTCCGTTATTTTCCACTGATTGTCTTTTTTACATCCGTCCGTAGCACTCTGCAGCTTTTTAAACGGTCAAAAATGTCTATATTTAAAACATTTTGTGACCGTAGCTCCAGCAAGCGTTGGTGATCATAGATGTCTAGTCTGTATCGTTTTAAGCAGCATATTTTGTGAAAGTGTCGAGAGGAGCCGTCCTTGGCCGCTGCCTTGGAGCGCCATGACCGCCATGGTTTGGTTACCATGGCGGTCTGATAGCAAAGCAGGCTAATATTGGCATGGTGATTACAAAGCATGCTAATGTCATAGTGATAATAAGGAGGGCTAATGTTGTCACACTTCTAGGAATGATGTAAATCAAGGGGGAGGAATAAACTCCTGCTCCCTTGCTAGCAGGACAAAAACCAAACCACTTTGATGCTCCGGGTTTATTGGCAGGTTTAAATCAATCCCAACACCAGCAGATTTCAGGGTGATGACGCCTTTAAAGGTTCATAAAATCTAGTGAATGTGAGCCATGGTCAGTTTGGGACAATGTTCTGTGGGCTAAAAACATTCCTGCCATCTGGTTTATTTCTTCTGTTGTCAACATCTCCTGTTCTCCATTTTCCAGAGGTGCCAAAAACAGACAAGAGTTATGAAGAGCGACTCATTTTCAAAACGTTCGTCTTGAAGTTCGTCAACGCCTTTTCACCCATCGTCTACCTGGCGTTTTTCAGGGGCAGGTGAGACGGTTTTCTCCGCGCCTTCTGAAACCAACCCTCCTGTTTTCCTTCAGGCGATTGTTTTGATTTAAAGTCTCTGACTGACGGATGTCTTTGTTCACAGACTGGTTGGCAGACCTGGGAATTACCTCTACGTTGTTGGATCCTACAGGATGGAGGAGGTAAACCAGCTCAGGCTGTTTATCCCCATGAGGTTTGGTTCACTGTCAAACGGAACAAGTAGGATTTGTCACTAATTCTATTCAGTTTATTTCTATAGCGCTGATTTGCAACACATGTCGTCTCAAGCCAGTTCAACCAGATCATCCAGTCAGATTGATTCAAAGTTTTCTATCAAAGGAAAACCAGTTGACAGCAAGCTGTCCTAGAAGGTGCTAGATGATGTCATCGTCTAATTTGCATACCTGAAGTAATCCAGCTGCAGGAGATTTTTAATCCCTCCAATTTTTTAGTTTTTCGTTTTTTTGGCTGTCTGTCAAAGCGGTGCAGAGAAACAGGATGGCAGAGAGGAAGAAGCGTAGGGATTTGAAGAGTTTTACAGAGACTTTTACAAAAACAAGTAAACAAAAATGCATATAAATTAGCCATTTAAAAAATAAAAGAGACAGGGATATTGTTTTACTAAAGTCTCCATTAACACAAAAAAAAGTTCCTAGATTTAGCGACAAAAGCGCTAAGTGGGAAACGCTGCCCTGAAATGCTGATTATATGATCATATTCAACAGCTGACTGCTGTAAGAGCTTTTCCTTTTAAAGGAAAAGGAATAATCAATGGATCTATACCTAAAACGAATACCTTCGTGGTGATTTAATGAATTTAAACAATATTTTTCTATTGCAATCACTCAGTCTGGGAGCAGCATTTTTTTACCCGAATATAGTAGCCCCTCCCTCCTGCCATCTTCCAGCAGTGACGTCACGGTGCGGTAAGCCTAGCGCCATTCTCCCTGCTTTACAAGCAAAATCAATGGGAACTACTAGACACATCTGCAATCAACAACAATTATTGAAGATTTCCAGAGGACTGCACCATTGAAATTCACCAGAGCTATAGTGAAACTGACAATGCCCACGTGCATGGCAGCTGGATGCTGGAATACATCGGGTAAAAGTGAAAAAAAAAAGACTTATTCCACCTTCCTGATTCCTGATCCTCCACGGACGGGTTGGTCGTTGGATCACCAACTTGAAGAGGGAGGATTTGCCATTGAACTTCTGGCCAGAGAAAAAACATAATATGTAGCCGACATTTGGAAGAAGAATGTTTTCAAGATGACTTGGATAATAGCGCGTTGTGACAAACACCAGATACAGCACTGGGACTTGATCAACAGCCGATACCGCACCATGACGTCACAAACCAGTAGGCGGCAGTAGTGTTCTTTGACAAACAGGGATGCCTCCAGTAAAGCACATTCAGATGAAAATTACTCTGAATTAAAAACACTGATCATTTATTGAACAGGATGGAATCATTTCATAATTAAAGAACTTTCAGAGGTTTGAATCTTGAATACGACCGAACTTTTCCTTTTAAAGGACGCTTCATGCATCACATCCATAGTTATCTGACTGGTTTAACGCTTAATGAAACTTTAGACTTTAAATAATGAGAACATCACTCATACTCTGTCTCTATAGACACACCAGCACTTTTGTTTTCTTTGCTGATATAATCATTCAGAAAGATGATGCTGAGGTTCAGTGGGATCACTTCTACTTCTGGTTTTACTCACCTGCCTTCATGATTCAGAGTGAAATATTGTTTCTGTCTGCTGTTAGTTTGAAACATCTCTGTTTTTTTATCCAGTGCGCTCATGCAGGCTGCCTGATGGAGCTGTGCATCCAGCTGTGCATCACCATGCTGGGCAAGCAGCTCATCCAGAACAACCTTTTTGAGATCGGCATCCCGTAAGTCCTCTCCTCCTGGATGCATCCTGCAGGAGTCCTTCCTGCTGCAGCTGTGTGCCGTTTTCTCCTCCTCCTTTTGGCTGATCTGGGTGGAAGATTATTTATCTTCCTGATTCTTTTAGACCAAATCATTTAAAATTAGGCCGGATATCTGCAGAATCCAAAAGAGCAGAAATTCCAGAAAAATTAGCTCAAAGCCAATAAAAAAAGACTGAAAAGAAAACCCAGAGAGATTTTCTCTCAAGGCTGGGAAGGCTGGATTGGGGATTAAGAGCTTCCCAGCTTGATCTGGAGACATGCAGGAGACATGCAGGAGACATGCAGTCCTCACCTGGAGCCATTGCTTATGATCTGGAGGCCTTTTAATCCAGAGATTAGGACTGCATGTCTCCTGAAACGCGGTGACATCAGCTCTCTTCACTCTTCCACATGCGAGTGGCTCGCCAGGTCGGTTTGCCTTAACCAACTGGCAGTCTTAGTTTCTAGTCTAGAGTGGAGAAGCAGCATTTCATCCATTTATCAACCAGAAGCCACCGCTGGCTGAAGACGAACGCTGGGGGGCCTTTCCAGCTGTGCCTCTGTGACAAAACTGTCCATTTCCTGCTCATTTTCAAAGAAACCATTTCACCATCGCTGGTCAGGATCCAGGTCAGTCATTCCAAAAAAGTTATATCAATCCACTGGACTTTGTTTCTGAGTCTGAAGACGTTTCTCTTCCATCCAGGAATATTTTTCAATTCCAAATGTCAGAAATAGCATTGAGTTTCAGGTTTTATCCAGCAGCCCAACAAAGCCTTGGTTTGTTTTAGAAAACATGCAAATAGAAACGGATGAACTGGTCCACCCCTTTGGAATGGGGGTGGTTTTGTTAGCCTGTAATAGCTCAGAAAACATGCAGATTGACACTGGAAAACCAGCTCCAGCCCTTAATAATGGGAGTAATGGAGGTCATTATTGGCCTGAAACACCAGATACTGGCCCATTGCTCGTTAAGGGTGATTGCTGGCCTGGCTGACCTGGCCAGATGTTTTGTTCCCCGTGCAATATCTCACCAGATGTTTTGTTCCCCGTGCAATATCTCGCCAGATGTTTTGTTCCCCGTGCAATATCTCACCAGATGTTTTGTTCCCCGTGCAATATCTCACAAAATGTTTTGTTCCCCTTCCAATATCTCGCCAGATGTTTTGTTCCCCGTGCAATATCTCACCAGATGTTTTGTTCCCCGTGCAATATCTCGCCAAATGTTTTGTTCCCTGTGCAATATCTCGCCAGATGTTTTGTTCCCGTGCAATATCTCGCCAGATGTTTTGTTCCCCGTGCAATATCTCACCAGATGTTTTGTTCCCCGTGCAATATCTCTCAAGATGTTTTGTTCCCCTTCCAATATCTCGCCAGATGTTTTGTTCCCCGTGCAATATCTCGCCAGATATTTTGTTCCCCGTGCAATATCTCTCAAGATGTTTTGTTCCCCTTCCAATATCTCGCCAGATGTTTTGTTCCCCATGCAATATCTCACCAGATGTTTTGTTTCCCGTGCAATATCTCGCCAGATGTTTTGTTCCCCGTGCAATATATCACCAGATGTTTTGTTCCCCGTGCAATATCTCTCAAGATGTTTTGTTCCCCTTCCAATATCTCGCCAGATGTTTTGTTCCCCTTCCAATATCTCGCCAGATGTTTTGTTCCCCTTCCAATATCTCGCCAGATGTTTTGTTCCCCGTCCAATATCTCGCCAGATGTTTTGTTCCCCGTGCAATATCTCGCCAGATGTTTTGTTCCCCGTGCAATATCTCACCAGATGTTTGCTTCCCCGTGCAATATCTCGCCAGATGTTTTGTTCCCCGTGCAATAAATCTCTCAAGATGTTTTGTTCCCCTTCCAATATCTCGCCAGATGTTTTGTTCCCCGTGCAATATCTCGCCAGATGTTTTGTTCCCCGTTCAATATCTCGCCAGGTCAGCCAGGGCAACAAGGGCTTTGTTGGACTACTCTATAAAAGCCTGGAACTCCACACTAAAGCAGACATTTAGAATTGAAAAGCTTCCTGGATGGAAGCAAAACACCTTAAAACTTGGAAAACAAAGTCCATTGGATTGTTTTTTAACTTTTTGGAATGTTTAGAAAGAAAGATTTAGGGTTTCTCTTGGCTCTCCTGATCAGACCGAGGGTCTCAGGCTCCTCGGGTTCAGCGGTTGCTTTAATGGCTCTGTGTTTGAATGAGGTTGGTGAAGAAAGCTCTGATAAAAGCTGAGGAGCTGCCAACACGTGTGGAGTGGCTCAATTCAAATCTTCACATTCACAGCTAACCAGAGGAACTTCCATTGATAATCTCCTCTCCTTTATGCTAATTCCTTGCTTTTTATTGGCTTCATTGGGTCAGAAATTCCTGTTTCCTCATCAGAAATCCTCTGGATCCGGTGTTGGATGCAGAGCAGCTCAGCTGAGCCTAAATGTTTAACGTCCACCATCGCTTCTCGCTCTGTCCAGGAAGATAAAGAAACTGATGCGGAAGAGGAAGTCAGCCATGACCTCCAAGCAAGAGGAGGACTTCAACAAAACCCTGAAGCGCTACGAGAAGGATAACATCCTGGGTCCGTTTGTTAGCATCAACCCGGAGTACATGGAGATGAGTGAGTACCGCTGCTCATGATGCTGATGCATGTTCTCACCTCAGGATATGAGAGTATTTTGTCTTGGTCATAACAAACCCTGGGCCAGCTGCAGGGATTGGCATAAACCTGCAGCTCCTCATTGCTGCTGAGTCTTCATGTTGCAGATGGACTCTCACCATGTTAACTCTAGTAAGCTCTAAACTCAGCCTGAGTTAACTCTAGTAAGCTCTAAACTCAGCCTGAGTTAACTCTAGTCAGCTCTAAACTCAGCCTGAGTTAAGTCTAGTCAGCTCTAAACTCAGCCTGAGTTAACTCTAGTCAGCTCTAAACTCAGCCTGAGTAAACTCTAGTCAGGTTTAAACTCAGCCTGAGTTAACTCTAGTCAGGTTTAAACTCAGCCTGAGTCAACTCTAGTCAGCTCTAAACTCAGCCTGAGTCAACTCTAGTCAGCTCTAAACTCAGCCTGAGTTAACTCTAGTCAGGTCTAAACTCATCCTGAGTTAACTCTAGTCAGGTTTAAACTCAGCCTGAGTTAACTCTAGTCAGGTCTAAACTCAGCCCGAGTTAACTCTAGTCAGGTCTAAACTCAGCCCGAGTTAACTCTAGTCAGGTCTAAACTCAGCCTGAGTTAACTCTAGTCAGGTCTAAACTCAGCCTTAGTTAACTCTAGTCAGGTCATAATAACGCTGATCCTAGTTCTTCACTGCAAAAATAATCTAGATACAAGTAAAGATGTCTTAAATTAAGTGCATCATTAGTCTGAGCAGTTAAATAAGATGATCTGCCAATAAATTGAGTGTTTTACTCTTAAAATAAGATAATTAGATAATATAAACTAGAAATAAGACAATGCAATTTTTTTTCTTATTTTAAATGTAAATTGTCATGTTCCATTGGCGAAGTTCTCACTACCTCCTCAATCCAAGAACAAATGCACTAATTTAAGAAAAAATGACGCGTTTATATTTTTGCAGCATTCTTCCTCTGTCGTCCTGTGTTAGGAGTCAGGATCGGTACGATCATTTAAAATCCATCCTCATTTTGACGTTTAAACAGTCTGTGTCGGGAGGAAGGAGGAGGAGCTTCTCGGAGTCACTTGTTCAACAGCCAATCAGCTTCAGACTATTTAAAATGACTCTTCTAGAAGCCTGAAGTCAACTTCTAAGTCTTTGTTGTTTCTTTTCCATTAAATCTCTTAAAGTTGGACCGTCTAAGTCAGTAAGATTATGTTGTCTGTCATGAAGAATAAAGTAGATAAATAAAAATAGATTTTATTCATGTGTCCACTGGAAATGATAACAGTCTGTATCTCCAGACCCTCTCAGGGTTCCTCCAGCATTTTTTGAGTTTTTACAACCAAAAAAAAAAAAAAGTCAGAACTGAACTTTTCCTCAAAGCCACATTTCATCCACAGGAAATCAGTGTTAGGGATTAAAGGAAACCACAGACTGAGGGATTAACAGCAGATAATCCAGACGATCCCAGGTGCTAATCCCTTTTATTAAAAATAATCCTCCTACTTCCTAATATTTCTACATTTGTTTATCTTCTAATAGCGTAAAAAAAAAAGAATTTGGAGACTAAAACCTGCTCAGAAACAATTTATACTTTGCTATTTTAGAACAGATTGAATTTGTCGGATTTTTGTGGAGTTTAAAATTTGACCTACATCTGAACAGCCTGTCTCCTGCAGTATACTTTCACTCTTTTACCTCCTTTTCACTCTCCTCTTTTCAGTATTTTATCTCCTTTTCAGTCTTTCTTTTCACTGTTTTTCACTCTCCTCTTTATTCCTTTTCTTTCTTTTTCCTCTTTTCTCTCCTTTTTGCTTTTTTCACTCGCCTCCTTTTCACTCTGATGCATTTCAGCTGCTGTCTCGTGTCTCCCCAGTTATCCAGTTCGGCATGGTGACTCTCTTCGTGGCGTCCTTCCCTCTGGCGCCGCTCTTCGCTCTTCTAAATAACATCATTGAAATCCGTCTGGATGCTAAGAAGTTCGTGATGGAGCTGCGCAGACCGATTGCAGCCAAAGCCAAGGACATCGGTGTGTGTTTGTTGTTTTTAAAGTCTGGGCTGATAAAGTGGAAGACATGTTTGGATCCAAACAGCTTCCTGCCACAGTTTCTGCTTTGCTGTCTCTGTTTAGGAACAGGTTGAGTCTGAGCTGCTCAGGAGGAAGAAAATTCAGAAATCAAAAATACGCTGTCAGAGGATTACAAAGTAAATTTGGGGATTTTTTAGAGGATAGCAGGTTTCCACCTCATGTATATCCGTTCCCACGGTAACCTCCCCCAGATGAAGACTTTTCAGACCCTGCCTTCTCATTTGAGGACGTGATGAGCTCCATCTGGTGGTACCAGGACATCATAACACTCAGTTCACTGAAAACAGGATGGTGGGGATACAAAAAAGCAACCAAACTTCAGTTTGATATGAGCTGTATCCTTTCTGTCCGTCAGAAAGACAGGAGGACAGGATTTATTTAGGACGAGCACATGCACTGGGACAAAGTCAACTTATTAAAATGATAAGTTCTACTTTTTAAACAAACGCTGGAGGCCAGGAGCTCAGACCTACCTGCAGAGAACAGCAGCAGCTTGTTTTGCTTTTCTCTCCTGTGTTTCTCTGAAATGGCTTTCATATGTGGCTGAGTGGCCTCCATTTCTGCTCAGAATTCTGTTTTAATCTCAACAGCATCTACTGACGCTCAGCCTGTAATGCCATGAGAGCCAAACACTCAGTTTTAGGATGAGCTGGGCTGGATGAAAGGAAATGCACTCTAACCAAATCCCTGCTCTGCTGTGTTTTAATACCAGCAGACCAAAGTACCCATAGTCAATACCCGTTTATCCGTTTATGAAAAACAGACCTGACTGACCTTAAATTGTTTTATTTTTTGTACATGACTAAAGGGATACGCGCCCTTAGAGGTAGTTTAAACACTATTTTTCGGACAAAACTAAAGGGATAAATGTAAATCTGATGCCTTGGGCATGTATATTGACTATAGGTATGCTGGTTATACTGAACTCCAGCTTACTATTAGGGCTGGGCCAGTAAATGTATTTGCAATGTAATCTTTGATAGATTTTTGATGTTACGTCACTGGCTGTGCAGAATGGGATGAAATGCTTAACTGATGCTACAATTTACACTGGCCAGTGGGCCATGGCCGCATTGTGCAATACCCTGGCCAGCCCCTGGTGGCACCACTGAGTCAGAGGGTTAGGTTGTGTCACTACTGTCCACTAACATGTCTGGGAGTCTTCATCGACAGCTCTCTGTTTTCACAGGTATCTGGTATAACCTCCTGAGGGGCCTCAGCAAGGTAGCGGTCATCGTTAACGTAAGTCTTCTTCACCTTTATTTGGGAAGCTTATGCAGGAATAAAGCTGTAAGACAAGGAGCTGTGGGACAGAAAGGAAGCTTGTAAAGCCAGGCGATTTGTTTGGGCCCATTCTCTACACTGGAAAAAATCGAAATCTAGTTAAGAACAGAACAAATGCACTTATTTTAAGAAAAACTACTTTTTTTGCCTTTTTTTCATTATTGCCTTCTTCACTGATACATACAGTCACCTTAGTTCAAGTTAAATAGACAAGCTCAAGTGACCAACATTGTAATTAAACTGAGAAACAATGCAAACCAAGACTTGACCACACATTTAAAGTAATGAAAAATAAAAGAATACAGTAATAACTGAACTCATTTGCTTAGTCTTTTTGCTTATTTCACCAATTATCCACCTTACTACCTCCACAGAATAACCTTTACCTCCCATCAGCTCACAGGCCCTAACATAACCCTGACCCAGACATCGTTACATTTCTCTATGTCCAATCTTATTGATGCAGTTAGTTTCTCCATAACATAGAGGCTTTATATTACATCCATCCTTACTTCAACTGTAGGTGAAAGGGTACTATGCCATCCTATGGGTATTGGTAGAATTAGTTTTTGCAGTTTGTTTGCATCAACCTCTGCCGTTTATAAAGAGCGTTTTTCCCTTCCAGGCTTTTGTCATTGCCTTCACTTCCGACTTCATCCCTCGGCTCGTCTACCAGTACCAGTACAGTCGTGACGGGACGATGCACGGCTTCGTCAACCACACCTTGTCCTATTTCAACGTCAATGACTTTGAGCCGGGTACGGCGCCACAGGAACCAGACCACCTGGGTTACGAGGTGAAAATCTGCAGGTAAGGTTTCATTCAGCTGATTCACTACAGCAAAGTGTTTCCCTTTGGATTTGGAAAGACATTAAAGTCTTAGGGGGAGAGATGAGATGAGTGAGATTCTGCAACAGCTTCTTCCCCACCGCCATCAGACAGCTGAACTGTTAAAAATCTCTTAAAGTCGTAGGGAAGCGGCTGTTTCAAACGTTTCTGATTTCTCCTGAGTGGTGCCCGACTTTTCAAGAGTGAATAAAGTGAATGTGATTGGTCGATTATCAAGGGGGCGGGATTGTTGTGGTGGAAGGTTCACAAGCAACTTTGGTTGTGGCCGGTTTGTCGGAAGTATCTTGCTAACCAGTTAGCATCTTAGTGCTAGTAGGTTCCCAATGGGAAATTCCATTGGGACCAAGTAGCACTAAATTGGTGACTTAGAAACGACACTGTCAAGGAACGCTATGGACAGCGGAAACATGCAAGAGGAGGAGAGTTTAGTGTCGGAGGTCGTGGATGAGTCTCCTCCGTCTCCTTTCAATGGAGCCCTCACAGAGCTCAGAGTATTAAGTCAAAAGTTCTCTTTTCTGTTGCTGTTGTTCTATAAAAATATGTTTTCAGATCATTTGAGGCGAGAACATTATACTTCAAGCTTGACTATATGGCCCATTTACTGATTTAATGCGTAATTTAAAAAAAATGTTCTGAAGTTAAGAGGACCGCGGCAACCAGCGAAGCTCTTAGGCTAACGTTAGCTCGTCTGCAGCAGCCCTTACTCTGCATAGCTGTGTGTAAAGTACCGCTGGCTCTGATGGGGGTATGATCGTTTTATTTGGCAAAATGATCATCCAGATGAGCTTTGAATGTGGTGATGTCATCAGTACGCTTCTGTTCCAATTGATCCAGATTTATTCTATGTGCTCCTGTTCTCCCAGAGTCCAGACTGTCCTGGGTTCTTCTCAGGAACGGACTAGGACACGGACATTCGCTCTACAACCTGTAACAGTCACCACTACTCTGCAATGATTCTGATTTCAACCGTTGCATATATTAGCTGGGACATGTGAATCAAGATGCTGACCGAAAAAACTGCGTATTTTGGTGTTATCAGTGTGATGCTCTGAACTTCCATATCAAAACATTTTTTCCACCATGTTTTTTTCTCCCACATTGTTTACATTTGATCACTACTGCATTGAAATCTCATGAAAGCTTTACCAAAGGAATTTTTTTTTAATACAGTCTGTGTATTCAAAATGAGAATAAAAGTTGTCTAAGTCATGAATGTGAATGTTTTCCTCCATGCAGGTATAAGGACTATAGAGATCCTCCCTGGTCTGACACTGCATATTCCCTCTCCAAGGAGTTCTGGTGCATTCTAGCTATCCGCCTCGCCTTCGTCATCATCTTCCAGGTAAACACCAACAACACATTTATCATTCCATGACCTAATCATCAAAAATTCCTTTATAGACTTTATGCTACGTTCACACCAAAAGCAGCAAAGGCAGCAGGAGCAGCTAGTTTACATACAAAGTCAATGTTTGACGCGCGTCCAGGCGCAGCAAACCGTCCTGCAGGGCGTTTTGAGCAGCAAGTGTAGCGCGTTCCAGCAGCTGAAGCAGCGCGTCGGGAGCACTTGAGCATCTGATGCGCGCAGCGGACCGCAAACGCAGCTGCTGCTCGGGATGGAAAAATTTAACTTAAGCTGCTGGACGCGCCGCATCAACCAATCAGAGAAGCTGGCAGGGAGTCAGACACAGCACTGCTGATGCAGAGCGCTATGATCACTCCTCTGAAACAGTTTATTAACGCCTAAATTAACTTCAAATCTAGAAACCTGCCGGCAGAATATGTTGGCTTTTATTATCCTGCTGCCTGCAATTTGGATTACGTTCATGAAAACCGCTTTCCAGCCGCTGCAGCAAACCACGAGGAGGCGACCCGGCCAGAGGCTGCTGTTGAATGGGATTCCTACTGACAGCGCAGCGCCGGTATGTGGGGGTCTGAGCGGCTCCGACAGCAAAATAATCTTTGAAGGCAGGATGGTAATCTGGATGAACTGACTGCACAGACCATGTTTTCAGGAGGACTTTCTCACCTAAAAACATTAAAACTACTTTATTCCCACTGATCACAGTATATTTAACTGCCAAAGACCTACCCAGTCCTTTGCAGGATTGGGTAGGTCTGCCCAACGCGCATCAGAACCACTTTTTCCACCGCACAGCTGAAGCAGCTTTGCTGCTCTAGCTGCGTGTCAGAACTAAACTTGTACATCATCAAAAATGAAGCAGCACGCGCGTTTTTGCTGCTCTTGCTGCTTTTGGTGTGAACGTAGCATTAGACATTAGACGCTGCAGATACTTCTTTAAAGACTGACTCACCTTTTCTATTCTTTTTCCTAAAAAAGACAAGAAAGTTAATGTCACACTTCCAAAATGGCCGACCACATTATTGTTTATTTAAGAATTTGTGATTACTAAAGAATAATTGGTGCATTTATGATGGTTGGAAAAAAATGATAGATTTATCCGCAGAGAGACTTGACGATGTGGACCTTTCTTTTTTTTTTTTTTATCTAACATATATTAAAACATTGTTCTTCTAAATAAAAGCTGAATGCATTGTATACTGTGGGTAGTTGTTTCAGACTTTATGTTGAATGTGATGGAAACAGAAATCCTTGTTTTTACCACAAACTCACTGACTGAACAGCAACTACTCTGCATCTAACCGCACCGTTCCTCTGGAACCTTCTGCACCATTTCAGCTCGGTTCAGGCAACCATGTTCATTCATGGGATATGAAGTTCCTTCAACTTCATATCCCCCCTCTCCCCCTCTATTTGGAACGAGGCTGGCGCTCGTGGTTTTAGTTCGGGGTAAGGGAAGGCATGACTGCTTAATTTTTGGCGCGCTCTGTTTTCACTGCGATGAGACGGGTATAAGCCAAGCATAAGGGAGAGCCCCGCCTCCCTGGATCCAGGATCTGGTTCTTTGGGTTTTGATCCAGAATAATAACCGTAGGTGAGGGTAGAAACGTAGACCGCGCAGCAGTGATCCGTCTATGAATCATCTGATAAAAAAAAAAAAAAGAGAAGTCAGCTGGGCCCCTTCAGCTGCTCCGTAAAGGCCATGATGATCGTCCATCTTTGACCACCGACCCACGGTGTCCTGGCGCCATCCTCATGCTTCAACACGGGGATCATTACTGACTAGCACAAAGATCCAATCATAGAATGCCACTAAGGTTCAGAGCAGAGCATCCACGCCTCCTAATCGCGCCCCTCCAGTGCGGGGAGTTGAAGTCGCCCAGTTGGATCATGGAAACCTAAAAAGGACATTTCATGGTCCAGCCCTGCTGGCAGAGATGGTAAGAAGGCTGGTCTGTGCTGCTGATCAGCCAGCAGTTTGTTGCGTCATCACCAATGTGGGCGGAGGTGTTCCGCTGTTAAATGTCTATCAGAATCTCTGAGCTCATTTTCTCAACCACATTTTTTTTTGTTCTTAAATTGAGGAGATAAGAGACATTTTTGCGTTGGAACAAGAAAATTTACATTTAAAATAAGAAAAAACACAAATGCATTGTCTTATTTCAATTGCATTTTATCTAATTATCTTATTTTAAGAGTAAAATACTCATTCGATTGGCAGATCATCTCATTTACCTACTGAAATTAAGGATAAATACACTTAATTTAAGACATTTTTTACATCATCTGCCATGTAAGAGCTGTTATGTAGGTTTTGTATTTTTTCTGTTTTGTCTAATACCATTGACACTGTTTGCTGAAACACTACAAATAAACATATTATTTTAAAGTATCAGACTGTAGTCACTTGTCTGCCTTGATTGGCCGCCGATAAACCAACTGATTTCCTCTGTGAGAACTTCTCTACACTGCAAAAAATTGAAATCTGAATAAGTAACTTTTTCTCGCAATAAGTGCATTTTCTCTTGAATTGAGGAGGTAAGTGAGACACGTTGCCAATGGAACAAACAATTTCCTCTTATAATAAGAAAAAACAACTGCATTGTCTTATTTCAAGTGCATATTATCGAATTATCTTACTTTAAGAGTAAAAATCCTCATTCCATTGGCAACTATATCATTTACCTTCTCAAATTAAGGGGAAATACTGTTAATTTAAGACATTTTGACTTATTTTTAGATCATTTTTGCAGTGTAAGGGTTTGCTTCACTTGAAAAATGATGTAGATATAAGTAAAAATGTCTTAAATTAAGTGTATTTAACCTTAATTTGAGGAGGTAAATGAGATATTTTGCCAACTGAATGAGTATTTTGACTTTTAAAATAAGATAATTAGATAATATGTACTTGAAAGAAGACATTTCAATTGTCTTTTCTTATTTTAAGGGTAAATTGTCTTGTTCCATTGGCAAAATGGCTCCTTTGCCTCCTAAATCCAAGAACAAATGCACTTATTTTAAGAAAAAAATACTTATCTAGATTTAGATTTTTTCCTGTGTGTGGCTGGCTCTGCAGCCAGAGACGTTCTCCGCTCTGACCCAGGCTCTCTCTGTCCCTGCAGAACGTGGTGATGCTCATGAGTGATTTCGTAGACTGGCTTATCCCAGACATCCCCAAAGACATCAGCCTTCAGATCCACAAGGAAAAGCTCCTCATGTTGGAGCATTTCATGAAGGAAGAGAAGGGTAAAAGGCTCACGGTGCGAGGCAACGGCAATCACGACAACTGCACCAGTCCCTCGTCGGATAACCCCAGCCCGCCGCAGCCACGCTCCCGACCCGTCTTCCACGCCAGAGCCGGATGGTAGTGTCAGAGAGGAGTCGTTGACGCATGGCTTCCCTTTTCATTCGTTCATCAGTAAAGCTTCTGCTGCTTTTCCATTCATTGGGGTTTTAGAGTATAAATGAGGTGTTCCTGTCAGAGTCTGTCGTAGGTTTCCATCTTAGATGTTGTGCACGCTACGCCGTCCTCTTCCTGCCAGAGATGCATCGGTCTCAAACTTTATTTGAAGTGGATGAAGCCATACGGCTCCCTGAGGGACCCGCTTCAGGTTTACCTTTAAGGAAACGGTGCCAAACTACTAAGAGCCAAAGGAGACGACCATCCCAGCTGCCGGCTCTCTGATCCACCAACGAGCAGAACGTCCGTCCAAATCATTGTCCTGAGAGGAGCCTCTTTTCTTTTCCTCCTGTATTTGGGGTACATGTCTCATTTCATTGCTGTTGGACATATTTATACATTTTTAATATGCAGACCAACTTGAACTGGTTTCACGTTTAGACGCTGGTTAGTAACTGGTGTTTCCGAGCAACAAGCAGCCCTGAAAGCACAAGACTGGCCGAATATTTACTGCACAAACGGAAAGAAAGCCATGAATTCAGATTAGATGTTAGATTACTGGTGCAGAACCAGTTTACAGAAACCTGCAGCCATATGACTCAGCTCAGACCATGAACGTCCTGCGACGCACAAACGTCAGGAAGGCAACATTCACCGTGTAGATTCCAATCCTATCGGTGCTTAGGATGGAGTTTTAGCAAACGAGAGGAAAGATTTTCTAGAAAAAAAAGCAAATCCTCCTCAGATCGTTCATCACTTCTGGCTCAGCGGATGATTTTTTTATACAGTCTTTATTTCTAGTGTCTTACTTTTAAAATGCTCTACTTTTCTAAAAATGTTTTCCATTTGTTCATCTAAGCATAAAGCTGCCACTTAAACAGGAACTAAAAGGCCATAAAATGTCAATTTCCAGCTGAGAAGGATGAGCGGGATCAAAGAGTTGCTGATATTTGGTCGCTGTGGCAACGGGAGGAGAAGTGATGCTTTGGTTGTTTGGTGTGAAACGAACCTGAAGGTTTATTTTTCTGCAGACCTTCTCAGCTTTCCACCTCATAGCAACAAACTCTCTGCCTTAATACCTACAAAAGTCGTTTTGAAGATGTCCTCCCATTCAACGTGCTGCCGGTCTGATCACACGCGTCTTTTTTTCACCTCGGCCTTATTTTAACTTGGTAAAAGATTTTCTTTCTTTTTTTTTTTTTTTTTTTTTTTTTTTTTTTTTACTATTCTCGCATCTTTTTAGCAATTCTCTCTGAAAGACTGAATTTTTTTAGTTGTTTGGTTTTCTGTCTGTTCAAGCGAAATATGGGAGCGACTGGATGTTTCACAGGTGAGAGCGGGTGAACAGGTTACCATGGAAACTCCCAGCTCAGACTGATGGAATGTATTTGTTTTTATATCTTAACTTATGTAAAAGGACTCTGATTAAAATGTCTCTTTTGGATGATAATGATGACATGGCATTTCTCTTTCTAAAGGACTCAATGACTCAGCAACAGCCTGCTACTCCTATACAGCTTGTCTCTTTAATAGTTAGTGCTGAAACCATAACCTGGATGAGAAAAGCAGAATCGTGAGTCAGTAAAGCTGTTTGTTTTTATTGTTTTTGTGTCTGAAGCATTCAAAGCGGGGCTGATGATCACAGCCTCGTTAAGCACACCTGCTTTTACCGAGACCTGCCTCCATCTTTGTCTGATGTGACGCTGTCCTCTACCCTCGTTGTTTCTAACAGCTGCTGGGATATTTTAGTGTGCAGCCGTGAGTGTATCTGCATGTGTAATCATTTGTCTGTGGTATTTTGTTCATGTGTAGAATCTGCTAATAAATTATGGCTGAGTTGCTCTTTGTTAGGAGTCTGTTTTTGCTTTTTTTTGTATATTCGAGGGGCATTCAATAAGTAACGTCTGTGACCCACTGTTTGCTCCAGCTGAAATTTTGCATGTGGAAATATTTATATCTCTATATATTAAGTGGCAACTTAGAGATCTAAAGAAATGTTTCTGATTTATAGGTGTTTGAAATGATGCACGTCTGAAACCTGAGCCTGTTGAGTGTCGAGCAGGGATCTGATTTTCGTATTTTGTATATGATGAGAAAAGCAGAGAGAGCAGAACGTTAGAGATTGAACTAACAGATTCTGCAGAGTGGGAGAATGGAGATAGAATAAAGCAGAATGATGAAATGGGGGTCCCTATGTCCTCCAGCAGTCTAAGCCTATAGCAGCATAACTATAGAGATAGCTCAGGATAACCTGAGCCACTCTAACTAGAAGCTTTATCAAAAAGGAAAGTTTTAAGCCTAGCCTTAAAAGTTGACAGGGTGTCTGCCTCACAGACTAAAACTGGTAGTTGGTTCCACAGGAGAGGAGCCTGATAACTAAAAGATCTGCCTCCTATTCTACTTTTAGAAATTCTAGGAACCACTAGTGAACCTGCAGATTGAGAGCGAAGTGCTCTGTTAGGAACATAAGGAACAATCAGATCTCTGATATCAGATGGAGCTTGGCCATTTAAGGCTTTATATGTGAGAAGGAGGATTTTAAATTCTATTCTGGATTTAACAGGAAGCCAATGAAGAGAAGCCAGGATAGGCGAGATGTGATCTCTCTTTTTCATTTTCATCAGAACTCTGGCTGCAGCATTTTGAGTCAAAGTATAAAAAATTGGTAAGAGTCTAAATGCATTAATGGAACTAAAATATTTAGAAAGATTTTCAGAATTTATGGGATGAAAGTTGAATTTTTTTGAATGAGTTTTTGGGTAATGTAGTTTTAAAACAACTGATTGATGACTTCAATGCCAGCAGTCAACTTATCCATTTGGGCTTGTTAAAGGCTGTCATTGTTCTCAAAAGTTTAAATGATTCTCATTTAGAATTATTGAATCATAAATTAATCTAATTGATGTATAAATAATAATAGATATTTAATGCAATGTTAAATGTGCGACCCATGGACAGTAGGAAGAATCAGAATTACCATAAGTACAATAGAGCAAAAAAAATATAATAAAACAGAATAAAATGAGTAAAATGACACCCTCCCCATATAAACTGTGTAAAATAAGATAAAGGAATAAAATAAGCATCTCAGTATTAACAATCAACAGTATTTACAAATTACAATTATTGCACATAACCGTGTTATTGGGTATAGTGGAGTAAATAAGAAATGAAATGATAATCAGAGAGCAGAATTCTACAGTTTGATGGCGACAGGCAGAAATGACTTCCTGTCTGTGGTGCAGCGTGCTGAAATGAGTCTCTGACTGAAGCTGCTTCTATGGGCGAGCAGAACATCATGAAGAGGATGAGCAGAACTGTCCAGCATTGATTTGATCCCGGCCGACATTCTGCTGTCAGAGTCCAGCTGCTCTCCAGCTGTGATGATCCCAATTCTCCTATTGCAACTGAAAGCCGGCATTTTGTATATATAACAAATGTGGATATTAGGGCAAAGCAAAACAACTGCACCATTAAGCCCCAATGTGGCCGCAGATACTGGAAATCCAGCGTGATGAGAGATTAGTACTTCAGGGCTGCCACCTTTCATCGAACCATGGAGTGAGATTTAGAAATAGTTTGAACAAGCAGCCCCTGACAGGGTCAGATGAGGACAGGTGCAGCGATAGGTTGGAGGTTTTCAGAGGATTTTACTGATTCAAAGTGGTAAAATGTAGATTTTTTTTTTATAGCACAGTAAATTTTACTGAATAACAATAAGTGATCTGCAGTTATATGGAGAATTGTTTACACACTATACACTACTTTCTATATTTTGGTGATTTTCATAGAATTGAACGTAGTCAGAAGTATGGGTCCTACTAAAATACTTTCTCTTAAATATACTGTAAACTAAGAATTTCACAACGTTGTTTATTAATTATTCTTTGCAGTTTAAGTGAAATAAACAATTGGAAACTAAGAACTTATTACTGGTTTACTGGTAGTAATACAGGAACCAGTTCAATGCAAACTACACTGTGTATAAATATTTGGTAATAAGCTAATGATTAAACTAATTTTTTTTTTTTTTTTGTTTATCTGTTCTTTATAATTGACAAAACAGCGAAAGAATGCAGACCTTCAACGAGGCTTTATATTCAATAAAAACTCTCCATGACACAAGACAGCCCTTCCCTAGATGTTTCATTTTGGTAGATATGAAGGAAATTTCTGGCTGCAGCAAGAAGGTTCCAGGTTTGATTCCCAGGGTCTTTCTGCATGGAGTCTCCATGTTCTCCCTGAGCATGCGTGGGTTCTCTCCGGGTACTCCGGCTTCCTCCCACAGTCCCAAAACCAGTGTTGTATAAAGTAGTGAAATGTCGGAGTCAAGTAAAAGTATAAGCACTTCTCCAAAATATGACTTTGGTAAAAGTCCAAGTCACTGACTGAAATGTTACTGGAGTAAAAGTCTTAAAGTATCTGAAATGGCTTGTACTTCAGTATAAGAATTACTGTGAAAAAAGATATACTCAAGTAATGTAGTGAAAAATATAAGTAAAAAGTAGCAGTTTGAATGACATTGTTTTACATTTTGGTAAACTTTGAAGGTTAAATTCACTTAAAATAATATAAACAACCAAGTTTAGGATAAATTTAGACTGGCTTTGTGAAACAGGCGTATCCTATTGGTGTTGATGAACAAGACCCGACTGTGTAGTCAGTAGGCGGGGTCAAAACACTTGCGTTTCTCTCGCTCATTTTTTCCATTTTTTTTTTTACTTAGTAACTAAACCAAACATTGAAAATGTAGTGAAGTAAAAGTGAAAGTTCTCAAAAAAATGTATACTCTTGGAAAGTATAAAGTACTCCAAAATATACTGAAGTACAGTAGTGAATATTTTTTACTTTGTTACTGTACAACACTGCCAAAAACATGACTGTTAAATAATTGGCTTCTCTAAATTGTCCTTAGGTGTGAGTGTGCAGCAGCATATATATATATATATATATATATATATATATATATATATATATATATATATATATATATATATATATATATATATATATATATATATTAGTTTCTTGCCTTTGTCAGAAAAGTTCAGGCTGAGGATTTTTATTTTGTGTCCCCACAAGGTAACAAAAATGAGTCCACACACATAAAAAATGGTGTTTCTTCCATATAAGGACTTTAAATTGACAAACCTTCATTTAATTTGCTGCATTTTGACATTTAAACTCTAAGTTTAACCTCTAAACTGATTCCCGCCACATTAGGACCAGCCTTTGCCTTGTTGGTCCTGAGAAGTGTAGTAAATATACCAAAAACTGTCTATAATAAACATGCAGCCCACACACGTGCGCGCGCGCCACCGTCTCCCTTTCCCGTAGTGACGCAGGCGGAAGTGAAAGGAGTGTTTTGTCGGAGCTGCGGTGACATGAGCGCCTCCAGCTTGAACTCCGTCCTGCTGGACATTTCCAACCAGCTTCATGAGGACAACCTGGAGAAGCTGAAGTTCCTGCTCAGAGATGTGATCAAGAAGCAGAAGATGGAGAAGATCCACAGCGGACACCAGCTGTTCGAGGCTATGGCGGAAAGAGGCCAGCTGGGCAGCGACAGGACGGACTTCCTGTCCAACCTTCTGAAGGAGATTCACCGAGAAGATCTGTCCGAGCAGCTGGACAGGCTGAAGGTCCGGACTGAGGTTCCCAGCGGCGGCCTCACTGACTCAGACAGAGGTAAACTGGCCCTTCATCACTGCTGCTTTAAGGTGGACCAGCAGATGGCGCTGTTAGCCAGGCAGAGCAGCGGCCTGACCTCTGTTATTCCCTGGATTACTGACTGCTGATCTGTTGCTAGTTTTTTTTTTTTATGCTTTATTGGCAATTCCGTGTAACATTACGGAATAAATCAAACATCAAACACAGATATACAACATTTGGTGACATTATAACTTTAAGAAAAACGAGACATAGAAGGTAATAAATAAATAAAAATAAAACAAGGGAAACAAACAAATAAATAAGATAAACATCAAATAATAATAGCTAGGGGTTTACATTGAGTTTATGGTCATTTACAAAAGTGTATAATTTTATACCATTTTTCTTCATATATTTAAGTGATTGAAAATACAAAGTTCTTTAAGAAAAACGTTGAAGTTTGGCTTGGTCCTCATGTATTTGTTTTTGTGAATGTAAAATGTCCCCATCATTAGTAAAGCATTAAAGGCTAGGTCCTGCAGGTTATCTGGCATTTCTATTCCAAACAAAACATTCTCTTTGTCCAGATGAGAAGGAGAATAAAATTTAGATGAACAACAATCTGTTGCTAGTACAGGCTGGAGTGAAGCCACCGGCCGCCATATTGGTACTCCCTAGTCAGAATGTAAACAATCTGTGCGCTACAGCATCGAACAACCATGATGTTGTGATTTTCAGGGAGACTGAAGACTTTTAAAATAAATTCATCACTTTGATCCAGACTGGCTGTTTAACAGCATCAGTAGATTAACTATAAATTAGAATAATAAATAGGCCCATCACATTGCAGAGTCATTATGAAATCAATGAAGTCTATAAATCATGTAATATAACATATTATGCAAATAAATCACAATATTTGCAGGTTGTGCATGATGCCATATACTGCTACGCTGTCTCTGTGCATTAGCCTTTAAAAATGTTTGAGTTCCTTTCTTTCCGTCAGTATAACATATTTCAGCACAAGATTAATTTAAAATGAGAAATACAATATACTTTCTATTTATTTAACTTTCTATTTCCTCTACTTTCTATTTTCTAACGTTAGACCAATGTCAGTGTCTAACTCAGTCAATGTCTTCCAGTCAGTCTGAGATAGCCAGACTAATGTTAGTCTACAGACTATACTATAGGATCCATAGATGGATTTATTGCTTAGTTCATCCACTGACTGGGAAATGACCTGAGGAACTTCTTTACTGCAGCCAGAAAACTGCTGGATTTAGCAGCTAAATGCTGCACAGGGAGGAGTTTTACTGCGCGTCTCTGTGGGAGTGGGGAGTACCAAGATGGCGGCCAATGGCTTCACTTTTTCGGGGCAGTCAGTGATCCAGTGCATCAATAGAGATCGGTGGATTAGACAGCCTGGAAACTCCAGGAGCTCCACAGAGTTTGAAGGTTTTCTCTCTGACAGTCAGCCTGGTCCTTCTGCTTAAAGCTCCACCTTTGGTTTCTATGGCAACAGTTATTATCAACAATGAGCTGGCCTTTCTGATTGGCCATTTAATAGCTGGTTATAATTGGCTGCTTTTCCTGATAATCAAAGTTAAAATAGAAAATGTCAGAATTTGTGATTCGAGAAGAGCAGCAGTGATGTGCGACGCTGGCATTTACGCTAGCCTTTAGCAACCGTGGCGAGAACGGTCCGAGCACAGTAACCAAGGTAACCGTTGAGTGTAAAGAAACTGGACCATGCCAGAATCAACCAAACCGTTCATCAGTAGTGCTCGGCGCCTTCACCTGTGGATCGGTCCTCTGATATCACAGCAGACTGCATCATCTCCTATTTACAGTCAGCTGACTCATTTCGCCGGTTTTCCGGCGTGTTCGGCTTTGTGGTTCACAGATCTCTGCACCTGTTCACAACACGAACCTCATCGCAGCTTATTAACAATAAATGGCATCAGAGGAGCGAGCGAGTGAGGAGGCAGCAGAGGTCAGAGGACTCTAAGAAAACAAATTCAATCATTTTAGGATATTTTCTGAAATACCTTTAAAGCTACCGTCCAATAAAGGACCTTTGATGTTTTGATTGGATTAATAATCTTATTAATTAAGCAGAAATCTGGCCTTCATCTGGTATTTTCAGTAGCTGAAATTATCAGCATTACTTAAATACTTTAATTAATAGACTGTTATTAAGAATTTTTTCACCAAACTAAAGCATTTGAATCCCAAAAATTAGATGTTAATGAAAGGAGTTATATTTATTTCATGATGTCTGGAGGGTCTGATCCACGAGCTTCACTCTCACCATTTATTGCAGGGATGTTAAAAACACTGAGGGCCGGACTGGTTAAAGGTTTATTAAAACATATTGAAATGAACCTATTGAACCAAGACCTAACATATTGTTTTAAAACAAAACATTAATGTCAATATTATTTGTAAACTTTTATTATATTAATCAACTTATTAAGATAAACATATAAATGAAAGTGCATGCTTTATAACCTGAAGCTGCATCACTGCTCTATGGTTCTACCATCACTGCTTTAAATAGAACAAAAATCTAATCAGTTTTATTCTCTCTCGGCTCTTTTTTTATTCAGTCCATTCAACTAGAAAATATGAATAAATAAAATACGAAAATCTATGGCACACAGACAAAACAATACTTCCTTCAAAGAAGAATCACATCTTGTAAAAAGAAATGTAAAAATGTTGATAAATTACAGCAGCGGATCCAGAATTCAGCCACAGGTTCTTTAAAAAAGGAATTTATTAAGCAAAATCCTAAAAGGGCGGAAGAATGAAAAAGACTAAAGACTACAGGTGTCAGCAGAGGCTGATTGAAGCCAAAATAAAAGCAGCCTGGATGGAGGGAGGGGTGATGGAGACGGACAGCTTGCTGAGCGAGGGGCAGCAGGGATCCACAGCCACAGGATACTGGGAGGTGAACAGACGGCAGAGGTCCGCGCCTGGAGGTAGCGCTCCGTCTCCATCAGAGTATCGCTCGGATCCCACCTGCCCCTCGCTCAGCAACGCCTCCATCACCTGCAGGATCAGCTCCGCCCCTCCCTCCCTCCTTCCATCCAGGCTCCTTTTATTTTGGCTTCAATCAGCCTCTGCTGACTCCTGCAGCAGCAGTTAGGGAACGCAGTGAGTCCGTTCCGCTTCCAGCCCAGCTTGGATTGTTAAAGAAGGGACAGCAAAAACCAAAACAATCCAAACATGCAAAGTACAATAAAAAAAATTAAAATAAAAGAAAAACACAACCATGTTTTCCCCTTGGAATGTAGTTTAGGTGCTGCAACACACTAACACTACATTCCCCACAATGCAACAGTAGCCTGCAGAGTCACAGCAGCTCACACAAGCGGCGGTGGCCTGTGGGTGGGTTCTAATGGTCATCCAGGGGGCCGATTGGTGGGCTGGATCCGTCCTGCAGGCCTCCACTGAGATTTATTATATAACCTGTTCTATGACCAGCTGGGAAGCTGCCAGCTAGAAGCTTCCTTCCTTTCTTCCTAACGATTCGTTGATCTGATGTCAATGTTGTCCCACAGCTAAACTGGACGCCGCCACGCAGGTGATCAGCCAGAATCTGGGCAAGAACTGGCGCAAACTTGGACGCAAACTTGGACTGAGTGAGGCGAAGCTGGAGTCCATCGCACTGCGGCATCCCACCGACCTGGAGGAGACGGCCATGGAGCTGCTGAAGGAGTGGAGGAAGAGCGGAGTAGCCGGGGCGCCCACGGACGAGCTGCTGGCGGCTCTGAGGGGCGTTCAGCTCAACCTGACGGCCGACAAGATACAAGATAAACTGAGACAGGAGGGGCTGATGGCAGCCGACTAGAGGCGGAGGACGGGGCCGACCCGGCCGCTTTTTAAAAACATCTTATCAGATGATGAGCAACTTTTGATTTACAGAAAGGATCCTGGAACCATGATGCAGATGATTGGGACTGATTCAGAGGCAGAGAGGTTAGCATGATGGCGGTCCGCCTCCCTCTGAGGTCACATGCTGTCGCTTTCAAATCCAATCAGAAAAAGTTATTTTCATGATTCATGCTGATAATAAAGATTTGCTGGACCTCCTCTGAACCCAACAGGCTACATAAGGAAAATCTTTATGAGAAAATAATTATCTTTATGATCATTTATTAAGTGTATGTAAAACCTGTAAGAACCTGTAAAATCTAGATGAATGAAAAACTAGTGCTCACATTATGAATCAGGGAATTTAATATTTAATGCAGAAGAGATCATTTACTAATAGCCTTTTTATATGGTAGGAAAAGGCTCTGTTCTATACTCAGGTTCAACCAACTGGTTTTCTTTTTCTTTTCTTCTGCTGTTTATGCCCCCAAACCCCCGGATTTAGGAAACTTGGGGCCCAGGGCAAAGGCAGGCAGGAGGGGCCCCTCTGAATTCAGAAGTTAACACATAAAACAGACTTATTCTCCAGATAGAGAAATGTTAATAGAATAGACATCCATTATCTTTTTTTGCATCATTTGTTTTCAAATGGTTTGCTGCTGTCTGTTTGGACCACACAATGGCTGCTATCAATTAGTTCATTTCATTTTAACTAGGTCCACTCAGAGTTGAACGCGTGAGCAACTAGTATAAAGAGCCATTGTCAGTGGAGCAATGATTTGACGAGTCACCATGACAACAAACAACAGGAAGCGCCTTTTTCATGCCAATGGAATTAGAGGTTTTAATGCAAATATAAAAAAAGGAGAATGTGTTTAAAGGACAAAGCAACAGCTGCAAAGATTGCTGCTCCAGTTAATGAGTAGGTTTATATGATGTGGGCTATGGCAGGGCGTTTTTACATTTATTAAAAGCATTCCTCTCTGTTGTTCCATTTGTAGATCACTAAAACAAGATTCTTTCTGATCAGAATCACACTCCTAGACTGAACTGCTATCATTTTCTAAATTACATTTTTGTAGCAGAAACCAAGTTTTAGAAAGTATAAAACAAAAAAAAATTATACTAGTAAGAATTAAGTTTTAAATATTTATTCATTTCATTTATTCATTTTAAGTGGCCATTCTGATATTTATCAGCTTGACTGAAAATTTATTTATATCTGAAATACACGTCTTCATTGTTAGAATAATACAAGTGCTGACTAGTAACAATAGGAATATGGAGATCTGAAATGAATTTCTAGACATCCAGAATGTTTATTCTAGATGTGCAGAATGACATTTTGTTTGAAATGGTCATTTAGAAAAGATATCAGGTAGAGTATTCAGTAAAACCAGTGCACATCAAAACAGCTTGCCATAGTTTTGTTACCGTAAAAATATCAGGGGATTATTTCCTGAATGGTCGTGGATCAATATTTCTATTTAGGTGAAATATTCTGGCAGCAGAGGAGGATGAATAATAAAAAGGTTCTAATCTATAGAACCTGTTCATCATCTCATGGGTTCCTCCTCATGTTGATTCTGTCGTGGGAAAAAAGTATTCAACTATTCATCCTAGTTAAATAAACGGAGATCGATGGATTTCACTCAGTCGGCACATTTATTAATCATCTTTGCAAAGAGAGAACAGTTCATCATACGGCCCTTATGGCACAACATTCTGCTCTGTTCTGATCTGGACAGCGTTCGTTCCTCCTTACTTACAACAATGGTAAGCAGTCAGAGTCAAAACAATTACAGACACTTTGGTTAAACAGTAACATGTGATGAATAAACCTGGAGAAAGAATCTGATTTGTTATGGGAAGAAGCTACAGGTGCTGGTCATAAAATTAGAATATCATGAAAAAGTAGATTGATTTCAGTAATTCCATTTAAAAAGTGAAACTTGTATATTATATTCATACATTACATACAAACTCATATATTTCAGATGTTTATTTTGTTTAATTTTGATGATTACAAATGACAACAAATGAAAATCTCAAATTCATCATATCAGAAAATTAGAATATTGTGAAAAGGTTCAAAATTGATGGCCCCTGGTGCCACACTCTAATCAGCTAATTAACTCAAACCACCTGCAAAAGCCTTTAAATGGTCTTTCAGTCTAGTTCTATAGGCTACACAATCATGGGGAAGACTGCTGACTTGACAGTTGTCCAAAAGACGACCATCGACACCTTGCACAAGGAGGGCAAGACACAAAAGGTCATCGCTAAAGAGGCTGGCTGTTCACAGAGCTCAGTGTCCAAGCACATTAATAGAGAGGCGAAGGGAAGGAAAAGATGTGGTCGAAAAAAGTGTACAAGCAAGAGAGATAACCGCACCCTGGAGAGGATTGTGAAACAAAACCCCTTAAAAAATGTGGGGGAGATTCACAAAGAGTGGACTGCAGCTGGAGTGAGTGCTTCAAGAACCACCACACACAGACGTATGAAAGACATGGGTTTCTGCTGTCGCATTCCTTGTGTCAAGCCACTCTTGAACCACAGACAGCGTCAGAAGCGTCTTGCCTGGGCTAAAGAGAAACAGGACTGGACTGCTGGTGAGTGGTCCAAAGTCATGTTCTCTGATGAAAGTAAATTTTGCATTTCCTTTGGAAATCAAGGTCCCAGAGTCTGGAGGAAAAGAAGAGAGGCACTTCATCCACGTTGCTTGAAGTCCAGTGTAAAGTTTCCACAGTCAGTGATGGTTTGGGGTGCCATGTCATCTGCTGGTGTTGGTCCATTGTGTTTTCTGAGGTCCAGGGTCAACGCAGCCACATACCAGGAAGTTTTAGAGCACTTCATGCTTCCTGCAGCTGACCAACTTTTTGGAGATGCAGATTTCATTTTCCAACAGGACTTGGCACCTGCACACAGTGCCAAAGCTACCAGTACCTGGTTGAAGGACCATGGTATCCCTGTTCTTAATTGGCCAGCAAACTCTCCTGACCTTAACCCCATAGAAAATCTATGGGGTATTGTGAAGAAGAAGATGCAATACACCAGACCCAACAATTCAGAAGAGCTAAAAGCCACTATTAGAGCAACCTGGGCTATCATAACACCTGAGCAGTGCCACAGACTGATCGACTCCATGCCACGCCGCATTGCTGCAGTAATACAGGCCAAAGGAGGCCCAACTAAATACTGAGTGCTGTACATGCTCATACTTTTCATGTTCATACTTTTCAGTTGGCCAACATTTCTATAAATCCTTTGTTTTTATTGGTCTTCAGTAATATTCTAATTTTCTGATATGATGAATTTGAGATTTTCATTTGTTGTCATTTGTAATCATCAAAATTAAACAAAATAAACATCTGAAATATATGAGTTTGTATGTAATGTATGAATATAATATACAAGTTTCACTTTTTAAATGGAATTACTGAAATCAATCTACTTTTTCATGATATTCTAATTTTATGACCAGCACCTGTATGTCTGGTCTACAAACACCAGCCTGGAGAGAAATGTGTGGCCTTGAAGGTAAAGCAGACTAAGTGAAAACTTTTATAGTGAGTAAATATGATAAATTAATATATAATAGAAGAAAGATAAAAATTTTCCGACTACAGTCCACCCTTTCGATTTTAAAAGGATATTATCCTTGTGTAATCGATATTATAAAAAAAAGGAAAATTTATGAATATAAGAAAACTAAGAAACCAAAATTGTGAGTAAATGTAAAGAAAGCTAAAAACTAAAAAACTAAAATAAAAATAAAAATGATAGTTAAAAAAATAATAAATCAAAAATCCACAACTGCATTAAGTCGGTGGACAATGTTGATTATAATAGATGGAAAAAGTATGGACAAGATTATGATAGCTAAAATATGTTGCCAATAAAAAGAGCCCTGGAATCACACCTTAGTTAGCAAAAATATTTACTGTTTTTCCCCATTATGATACTTTTATGGAAAAATATCTATTTGCTGAAAATTAAAATTTTTAGTTCTTATCATTATCAGTTACCCTTTTTGTTTCCCTGGAAAGAGAAAAGTTCAAATCAGTCAAAACAATAAACCCCTTCATGTCTACAAACTGTAAGTCAAATTATTAATCTGAGTTTCATTAAAAGTAAAAATGTTAAAATCATAACACTAAGATGTTTCACGCAGATGACGAGTTCAGCTATTCAGAATCAGGGTCAGTCAAAGCACACATTGAAAAGTTGGAGGATTTAATCTCAGCGCTCCTCTTCCCCAACGGTAGCTGAGATGACCCGATCATCAGAGTTTATCCTCTAATCCAGAAATCTCTGCCAATACTGACCATCAGCCATCAGGTGGTCATCAATACTGACCATCAGCCATCAGGTGGTCATCAATACTGACCATCAGCCATCACGTGGTCATCTAACACTTGAACTTTCTTTTTATTATCAAGAAAACTAAAATCAAACACTTAGATACTAAAATGTTAATCTTTGATTAAAATACAACACATCACAACACATTTCCCTTCTCATTCATGTTGTATGACTAAAAAATCAAAAAGCCAAAGCTGATGTCAGACATCTTCAGGTGGGCGTCTTCAACTTTCTGTTGATGTTGGTCCCTTATACAGGCGACATTTTGAACGAGGTTCAATGGGTGGTCTGCAGAGCAGCTGGTCCTCAACACATCAGGTGGACTACTGATGTGTTAATTAACCAATCAGAGGGGATTATTCTGCCCCTTTATTCTGATTTGTTTTGTTGAAAATTTTCCTGGTTCCTTCCTGATGAGCTCCGATCACTTTCTTTGATGTCTTTGAGCCACACCTCCTCCTGCTGAAGAATGGAAGGATGGCTGAGATGGTCCTCCATCAGGGTCTCCAGGCACCTTGGTCCCTCTGTAAAGCCGTCTCTAAGGGAAAAAAGGTCTTGTAGGTCATTTTAATGTGTCACCTGTCAGTCCCAGTCTGGCCAGAGGTCAGAGGTCAGGTCCGTTCTGTGGTCCAGGAAAGGGTCGACCCGTTATGAGCTCATGTGAGGAACATGAGTAACAATAGTAGATAAAACAAATTAATGTAGCTTAAAGAAGTTTAGATAAAAAATTGAACTTTGTCACAAATCATTGAATTATTCCATAATTTTAAACTTACCCAATAAATGTACTTCCTTATATTCGGTACCCTTATCACTTCTGCACCTGCAGAAATCCAAACAAGCTTCTCCTCAGCAGAGGAGGGAGGGAGGAC